GTTTGGTAGATTTGCGTAAAGATTTACGAGACACTGGTGATGCTGGAGAGATGAAATGACACTGTTCGGCCTCAGAAAATCGTGAGTAGCGAGAGAGGAAATCAGCCTGCAGGATTGTCTTTCCTGGACGATCTTGGATGTCATAGTTATGTGCGGCTAGAGCAATACTCCACCTCTGTAGCGTAGCAGCAGTGGACTTCGCGATGGATTTGTTGGGGTTGAACAAGAACTGTAGCGCTTGGTGATCAGTGATGATAGTAAACCGCAATCCGAAAAGGTACTTGCTCAATCGTCGAACAGCCTGGAATACAGCCAACGCTTCTTTTTGAGTCTGTGCGTATCCGTTTTCTGCCACATTGAGTATATATGAAATGCAGATCACTGGGCATCCTTCTTGTTCTAATACAGCACCGATTCCGACGTCGGACGCATTGGTGATGAGTGTAGTCGGTTTTGAAGGTGAAAATGTGGTCAGAACAGGACGATCAGTAACGCAGAGAATTAAATCACGTAAGATATCTTCACACTCCACCTACCAATCTCAAGCGTCAGAACACTGATCACGGAAAAGCGGCTGCGCCCTTGTAGCAAAGTTCGGGATAAAGCGGGAATAGTAATGTAGGCATCCGAATCACGGATCTCAAATGTGTTTGATCCTTTGGAGATTTGATGTTAGTCAATGGTTTGAAACTTGTCGGATCGGGACGATATCCACGGGAATCAACTGTGGATCCTAGAAATTCCAACTCACTTACTCCAAACACACACTTAGACGGCTTGATAGCCACGTTCCTGGCGGTAAATCGTTCCAGTAGCTGCGTCAGACGGGCATCGTGTTCTTTCTTATTAAGGCCGAAAATGAGGACGTCATCTTGATATGCAAGCACACCGTCAAGTCCTTTGATTACACTGTCCATTGCCGATTGAAAGAGGCCAAACGACACATGCAATCCAAATGGGAGAAAATTGTACTGATACATTCCCCACGCCGTGTTGTTGCCAAGCAGCGAGATTCTTCATCGAGTGGAATCTGTAGGTATGCGTCCGAAAAATCGATCTTCAAAAAATACTGGCACCCAGGCAATGACTTCATGAAATCCTCTGGTTCCATGGTGGTCGCTGCACATCTCCGAAATCTGGGATTCAACGTTGGTCGATAGTCTCCACGGATCCGTGGTGTGCTACCATCACTTTTCATCGCCACGACGATCGGGGCAGCTCAGGCACTGGATTCAACTTTGCTCATCACACCTTCCTGCTCAATTTTCTGTAATGCTTTCAAGACATCTTCCCGTTGACCGTATGGGAGGACGCGTCGTTTTAGGAACATAGGTTCACCGTCCACTTCCAACTCTACCGACGGTAATTTCATGCCACCAACGTTACCGGAACACTGTGCAATCAAATGTTGAAGACGTGGGGTGATTGGTT